TTAACTCCTTGATGAAATCAATTGAGATTGATAACCTCAACACAACAGTTTCGGTTTAACCAACAAAATTAATCCCTCTTAAGTTTATTAACCACGACCGTGCATTAATAAACCGAAGTTACTTACTTGTGAAACCATCAACGATTAACCTTCGGTTCGTTGAACGTTTCTAGTAGTAATTAATGTTGAGATGTTAACTAATTATCATCTTAGCAACACTCCCCAACATTAACATAGAGATAGATTAAGGGAAAAATTAATATTCAAGGAAGAAGATTAAATATGAATAATCCTACTATAACTAATGTCAAGATGTTATCTAATTGTCATCTTAGCAACACTCCCCAACATTAATATATAGAGGAAGAAAATAAATACTACTATAACTAATGTCGAGATGTTAACTAATTGTCATCTTAGCAACACTCCCCAACATTAATATATTGATAGATTAAGAGAATAATTAATATTCAAGGGAAGAAGTTAAGAAAATAACTCACAACTTTAATAATCAACAAGCTTCAAGAGCAACACCAAGAAATGGAAGTTTAGCTCCTCATTTGGAGACTAAACATGCTATAAAAATATAAAAGAAATACTATTCTAAAATGAGCTTAAGAGTATGGAAGAAGGAGTTATGAAAAGTGAAGGAAAATGGGGCTATTTAATTTATAGGTGTTTTCAACACCCTGGGGCATTTACCCGACCGGATCAAGTGCCCACCCGATCGGGTAAATGTCAAAATCAAATATTTCCCACGTTCTGGCGATCTTCGGCATGTTCTGGTGTTCCGGGTCACATCTGACCCGACCGGGTCAAGTAGGGGACCCGACCGGGTCTGGCAATTTCCTTGCTTCTTCGGTTGATAAATCTTACCCGGCCGGGTGGGGATTTCTACCTGGTCGGGTTTTGCTCCTGGGCAATCAAATTTCTTGTTTTATCCTCTTCAAAGTCCTCTTTTCCAACACCATAAATCCTAAATCTATTTTACAACTTATAAATGAAGATTAAAATACAATTACAACTAAAATCACACAAATGTTTACAAACTAAATAAAACGATAAATAATACACACAAATCAAACATAAAAACATACACTTATGCACTACTAATTAGTGCATATCAGGCAACTTGCAGGTGGTGCAAAAAAGAGTGTAGCTTGGGGCGTTCACACGGATACGGGATGCCAAGAAAACATATGAAGTCCTGTGACAAAGGCAAAACAACAACCAACGGTGGCGGAAATTCCGATTGATATTTATTAGAAAATGTATTTCATATTGTAATTTTTTTTCTTAATTCTCAAAAGTAGTTCCTATTTCAAATAAATGCACTTGAACTTTGTTTTTAATAAAAATTTGTATAAACTATAAATTAAAAAAAATTAAACATGGCCCGGCCCGGCCCGGTAGGTGGCCCGACCCGTGATCCGGGCAGGTGACCCGGCCCGAACCGGCACGGGCCGATCCCGGGCCTCCTTCAAAAAACCCGAGGCCCGACCGGGCCTAGGCCCGGCCCGGGTCCATAACTACTCTTCCGTTTTAACTTTGAAATGCTAGACAACTTAAGAACCAACATTGCTTAAACATAATGCAAAAATGATAAATTGTAAAAAAAGCATACCATATTCACTACATTCTTGAAAATTTGTTTGGCATTAGCACTTTTTATGCACAAATGCAAACAAAAATAATAACAAATATACGGGAAAAACATGTTAAATCCCTAAATCACTACAAAGACATAGTATAAATGTCCACGACTATAGTATATTATATTTTTCATCAACAACTATATCATCATCATTTTCCCAAGAGGCCAATCTTTTCCATCATTTTCATCCAATTGTTATTATTCACCATCATGGTCTTCATCAATGTGGTCCATTATCATTTTGACCTAACTAACATCGATCACTATCATCAATGGGGTTGGCACCACCATGTATTCATTCCTTCTAAACTTTCACGGTTTGATCTCCACACCCCTAAAATATATTGACACCATCGTGATATGCATATTGCAAAGCACATACAAATAAGGATGTTTTTACTTGGACTGTAATTTGCCCCAGACCAGACCAGACCAGACCAGTCCAGACCAGACCAGACCAGTTCAGACCAGACCAGACCAGACCAGACTTGGATAGTTATAAAAATACAAAGAAACCAGACCTTACCAGACCAGACCAGACCAGACCAGTTCAGACCAGACCAGACCAGATCAGACCAGACCAGACCAGCAAATTACAGTCCAAGTAAAAACATCCTAACTCAACAACACACAGACAAGTGAAGCATATACTGGTTCATGTCCATCAATATTGCCTTTTCCTTCCAAGCGTCTAGACGTAGACTCGAACCCATATTCACACAACCTAATTTTTTTCATTTCTTCCATAACCTTTAGCGTTTCAAACGTTTCAAAATTTGCCTCCCAACTTCCATCATCATCCTCGGGAATTGAATCCTCTTCCTTCAAACGTACAAGTACATGTTAAACACACTAGGGTACCTACACAATCAAATTTTGTTTGTGTATATTCAAATTTCGTCTTAAGAAATATGTTGAATTATTACAAATATGCTTGTGTACACAGATATGTTGCTCAATCACTTTCTAAAATGTATACAAAGACAATTTTTTTTGTGTACACCCAAGCATTTAGTCTTAAAAATATGTTGAATTTTGACAAATACTTTTGTGTACATAGGCGAAGTGTTGAATCTTTTCTAAAAATGTATATACCTACAATATGTTCAACCATTCTATAAAGCACACATATAAAAATGTTTATGTACACAATTAAATTCTCTATATACACCGGCATTTCATCCTAAGATATATGCTGAGTTTTAACAATATATTTGTATACACAGACAAATTATTCAATCATTTTCTCAAAAAGTATACACCTATAACATGTAGAAATCATTTTTAAATATGTTTGTGAACATTAATAATTTTCTTTGAGAACACTTATTATTGAAGCTTTGTAGTGTGAAAAAAATTATTCATTGTCCAATTAAGTAGCCAATTAGTAAACATGTCCCCAAGGTGAAGTATTTGCTCAAAAGTCCAACCCTGTAAAAAGAGCAAATGTATTGAAATTCACACACAATAAGATAAAAAAGTAATAGCGCACAAGTAACACACACAAATATTGGCAGAATTCAACTACTTATTACGGAGTACGTCTTACTGACACCAAATAAATAAATGTTAAGGAACACACACAACCACAATGCAAGGTATAAACAAATAAATGATGTAGCACAAGCGATTCATGTCCTCTCTCATATAACTACCAACTCATGGATTAATGAAAACTATTAAAAACAAAGTTCAACCATCTCACAGAAAACAAAATAAAACACAAAACATGAAATCAATATCCACACAAACACTAGATTTTACCAAATAAACCGTATTTCGGACATAGACAACCAATTTTTATTCATACTTCTCATTTGTATACTTTTTAACGTATATAAACTTAACCTAACATACAAATTAATAGCATCAAATGTAAATACACCAAACTCTAAAGATAATTACAACCATCATCAACTCAAATTGAAAATTATATGACTAATTGACTATACTTTTATACTAACCGTTCAGTCATTTTGGACAAGTTCCTTCACACCATGCTCACCTTCCTTCTTTGGTCTCACCTTAACAATGGACTTTGTCTTTAACATCATGCTTCGACCTTCAAAAATGAAATTGGACTTCAACAATGGAGATGGTGGCAGATATAGGCTGCCTCTTACACTGTGTTCAAAACTAAAAGGAGAAACTGATTGCCGATCGCGGGGATGCGAGATAAAAGGAGAATAGAGTGTTGATGTGTAAGTGTGTATATATGGTATGTCAAAAAACGATGACACCCATCCCCGAGCGCAATCGGCACCGACCAAACAATTAACTGGAAGGATCTATAATAGACTTTGATCACAAGATGACAGATAGTGAGTGTAACTCTGGTCAAAGTACTTGCAGTCCTTAGGCATTAATTTTACATAATAACCTTTCATCACAGTTGTCGAAATTTGAACTCGAGACGTACCCCTTGTGGCCTTGTGGCACCCTTTATCTACTAGTTGAGCTACGTCCACCGACACAGATACGAAGTATATGGTATGCCAAAGTATATAGAAGGGTGTACACCTATCATTTTTTTGTTTTTTTTCTTATTATATGTTTCTAATTTTTCTTTTTCAATTAATTGATTTATATTTTACATCCTTATTTATAATTTTTTAATTTGATTGCAATTTTCTAGTATGATCTAATATATGTAAGTCTGGTATGGTTTAACCTGGTATAAACTAACATGCTATAGTATGATAAATGTTTCTTGTACGTGTATTTTAAATTATTGAAGTTAAATTTGGAGCCCAATTGGCAACCATATTTTGCGACTTATCAGACTTATCGGTCAACTTTTTCACCAAACACGTAACTTTTGATTTCACATGTTTGCTAAGAAAAAGTAAAATTGAAGTTACTTTTTTATTGTATTGAATAAAGTCATTGTAGAGAATTATTTTAGCTATTTTCATAGGTAGTATAATTTTTTCCTTTTATTAATAAAATATATTTTTAATATTTTTTACATACATCGGCAAAATCAAGCAATATAATCACTTAACTCGAGACTCCATTTTGAAGCAATTCAATTACAAACATCTCTATTTTTTGGGTACAATGGAAATAGGGAGTAACAAACATCTTTACTAGTGGGTGTAGTTCAACGGATAGCGAGTGAGTCCCACAAGGGTTAGGTCCCGAGTTCGAATCACGACAACTGCGATGAGAGGTTACTATGCTAAAAATGCATAGGACCTCTGCAAGTACCGGGAACGGAGCTCCACTCTCTATCTGTCAGATTGTGATTATAGTCCAATTTACATCCCATCATGCCGTCCTATCGGTGTTAGGAGCACTCATGAATGGAGTGTCATCCTTTTATTTGGCAGCCCACTCTGTCTGCAAAACTGATACCGTATCTTATCTGCTTCAAAAATCGCATGAGACAGATGTCTTAAAAAATTGTGAAAACTTTAATGGATTCGCCCCGAAATTAGTAGCTATCTAACTGTCCGAGATCTTGGCACTTACCTTCCACTCTAAAAGCCGAAGATCAATCATACTTGACAACCAATTTATCTGAAAGATATGATTAATTTTCGGAACTCAACCATTTTGTGCTGTTTGTTGATACTGATTGCATCTTCATGTTCCTGTTACTCGGAGGTTTTGATCTCCGTTTCTCCGAAGACTTTAGTGAAAAGCGGTGACTCGGTGACGATAAGGTGGTCCGGCGTCGAATCTCCGTCGAAGCTCGACTGGCTCGGGATTTATTCCCCGGCCGATTCCTCCCATGACAATTTCATCGGCTACGTGTTCCTGTCGTCTTCGCCCGGATGGGAATACGGGTCGGGTTCGATTTCCATCCCCTTGGTCAATCTCCGGTCGGCCTATCAGTTCCGGATCTTCCGGTGGTCTGAGGAAGAGGTTGATGACACGCGCATGGACGACGATCATAACCCGTTGCCGGGAACTGCACATGTGCTGGCGGAGTCGGAAGAGGTTGGATTTGAGACGGGTCGGGGCCCGGAGCAGGTTCATTTGTCACTGACGGGTCAGGATGGGGAGATGCGGGTCATGTTTGTGACTCACGATGGGAAGGAGAGTTTTGTCAGATACGGGTTGGCCCGAAAGAACTTGGATCAGGTAGCGGGTACTCGGGTCGGGAGGTATGAGAGAGAACATATGTGCGGTGCTCCAGCAAATCAGAGCATTGGATGGAGAGACCCTGGGTACATGCACGATGGTGTTATGGTCAATTTGAAGGATGGAAGGAAATATTTCTATCAGGTTTTATTTTTCCCTTTATTTCTGTAATTACGTATGTATTTTTTTGTGATTCATTCATTGAAGGGATAATCAGTATTAACCTTTCATTTTTAAAACTCAATTAATTACACCCGAGTTAAGATCATTCTCATTCTTTGCCCCTCACGTTAATATTCGTTAAATCAAATTTCATTCTTTGCCCTGACATTAATATAACTCTTATATTCAATGAAAATTGTTTATAAAATTAATTTTTAAATTAAAACAAAATTATTATCATATTTATAATTCATTATTGTTGATCATTATTTTTCTACTTAGCCACTCCATCGTGGAATAAATATTATTGAGACTAGTTAAGGGAAAATACTCACAAGTACTACGTAAGATATACAATATCATGAATTTCGATACTTCTATTTTAGAAAATTAAATATCATTCACTTATAAAACCAATAGACTTTTTTGGGAAAAGGTGCAAATAGGCCATGTACTAACCAAAAAAGGTCAAATAAGCCTTTATTTAGGAGGCTCTGTCCGGCCGTCGTCATTTGGGGTGGTTCCCGGTGGAATTTTTTGATGAAATTTTTTGAGTATCTTATTCATCGAGTCTAGTTTACTCATACCAAATTTCAGCTAAAACTTCAATCGGGAAGGCATTCAAATGAATTCTTGAAGATAACTGTGATTCTAACTGCGCAGTTATTTTCAAGAATTCATTTGAATGCCTTCCCGATTGAAGTTTTAGCTGGAATTTGGTATGAGTAAACTAGACTTAATGAATCAGATGCTCAAAAAATTTCATCAAAAAATTCCACCGGGAACCACTCCAAATGGCGACGGCCGGACAGAGCCTCCTAAATAAGGGCTTATTTGACCTTTTTTTGTTAGTACATGGGCCTATTTGCACCTTTTCCCGACTTTTTATTGTAAAAAAATTGTGAAGATAGAATCATCACAAGTTAGTAACAGAGTAAATAAAATATTTAAATAAATCAAAATCCATGTTATCTTAGGTTTTAGATTACTAGCTTTCATTTATTTAGCTCTTATACCAATACATTCTATATTTTAGGTCGCTTATTGTCGTTATTGATGTTTGACCTATCTTTTAGGTCATGAAATGATGAAATTCCCTTTTTCTTAGTATTTCTTCTTTGCTACACATGAAAGAAATGTCATTGAGAATAATTCAACCGGATGAATTTCAAATACTATTATATTCATGATGAAGAAGTGCCTATAATTTTGACAACACATTTTTTAAATAACTTTCTTTTATGTATCCCATGAATATTACTCGTGAATCTTCCCCTTAACTACTCACATGAATAGTTATTCCACGATCGAGTAACTAAGTAGAAAAATAACTGTCAACAACAATGACTTATAATTATGATAATAAATTATGTTATACTTTAGAAATTAATTTATAGACAACTTACATTGAATTTAAGAGTTATATTTAATTTAATTTAACAAATATTAACATGAGGGACATATTGTGAGAATGACCAAAACTCGGGGGTAACCAATTGAATTTTGAAAATGCAAGATTTCAATAATAATTATGACATAACCTCGGGGGCTAATAGTAATATCTCTTCATTGAATTACTCCCTCACTCCTACTTTAATATAAGTACTTTATACAGAATCAGCTTAAAATTCTCCTTTCTTTTAATCTATGAGTTTTTCTTTTGAACGTTAATCTATGAGTTTATAAGATACGGAGTAATACTTTATCATGTTAGATTCTGACTTTTTTAGTTTCAAAGATTTTAATTACTAATACATATATAATATATTGAAGAGTTAACTAGATCGTGTAAACTGAACCAGAAATCTTGAAATGGAATGGAGGATCATTTAGGTAACTGAAACCTTAAAATTGGACAGAGTACTTCTTAGATATGATCATATCTAATAATCTGAAGTGTATAATTAATTCAGATTTTTGTATGTCATTGGAAAGCTAAAATGAACCTACTGGGCTATTTGAGTTGCACATTCTCTACTGGACTTTACAGTTTTTAAGAAAGTTAAATATTTGCTCTTGGCTTTGCCATTATATCCTTATAAAAATAGAGTGGGGTTAAAAGTGAGTGTAAGGTAGATAAATAAAGTAAATGTATAAGAGTAACTTTACAATAAAAACATTCCAAAAATGGAAATGAGAATTTTAATTTGGGGCTTCCGAAAAAGGAAGATGAGAACTTGTTTGAGATCGCGAGGGAGTACTTTCTTTATCCCGTTTGATTTGTCTCATAGGGAGAGTCCTTTTAACCTGTCTCAGACAGGGCCGGTCCTGGGGCACGGGCAGGAGGGGCATGCGCCCAGGGCCCTTTGCTCTAGTAGGGCCCATAAAATTTTCAAATATGTGTGTATGTATGTACATAAATATTTTAAATATATATAAATTATATTTTATAAAAAAATAAAAAATAAAATCAAACTTATATTTTTAGATACTTCTAATTTGTTATTTACCATGTACACAATACAAGTCTATAATATTGAAACATCCGCTTTAGAATTCATTGGGAACATGTTTCACCATTTCTTTTGAATCATTAAGCATTATTACATTAATTTTAATCTTTTAGTGTACATGTCTTATGTATATCCATTGATATATTTCACAAATTTCTTCCGATTCTCTCATTTAGTGAAAGATTGAACTTTAGTGTTCATAATTTAGAAACTTAGAATTTGTTATGTCTAGTGAAAATGTGGTTTAAAATATGAAAAAGTTACTCATACAAGATATAACTTTCACAAATTCCCTTGATTCGAATTTTTTATTGCGCCTAATAGTTGCACTACTTGTTTCATTCGGTTGTTAGGTACATTGTATCATCGAATGTCACTTATCAATACGCTTTTTATATATTTTCTAACCATATGCTTTGTTAGTTTTTTTATGTGTTATACTCGTATTTTGACGTTAAATTGTATAATTTTAAATTATAGATTTTCGCGCGCTATCCCTAAGGCCCAGTCTATTTGTATTGTCCTAGGCCCATAAAATGTCAGGACCGGGCCTGGTCTCAGAACAATACTCTGTAGTTTTGATCATTTTGTGACCATTTATATTTTTCTTAATTTACAAATTATCATTTCATCATTTTCATTTACCCAAGTGCCGCAAAGGCTCCCACCTACGGTGGGGTAAGGGGGGTCGGATGTACGCAGTCTTACCCCTGTACTAAAGCACTAAAGCACAGAGACTGTTTCCGAATGACCCATAGTGAAAATCGCGTCCAAAATTGCATGGACTGACTGCTGCTTCATAACAAAGAAGCGCAGACAGTTTAATGAGCCATTTTGCTTTATTCCATCATATTCTCAAGCCAAAAAATAATGAATCTTTGGCTCCATTACAAATTATCTAAATCAAAATTTTGAAATGGCTGACACTATTGATCCTCAGAGACATAAAATCGGGGAGTATGTTACATCAAAACAGAGTCGCCGTTTTCATCAAAACCAGGCTAAAAGCAAAGGGAACTACTTATAATGTCAGACAACTATATTGTACTAGCAATATTTTTTATTTTTCACGTTTGGCAATAACGACATAACGTTGAAGCATTATCATACATTCCAACTCTTTTTACACGCCAATAGTAGGTGCAAAAAAGTAAACCTTGATTGACAGTTGTTGAGTGTAACTTGAATGCCAGCAAACCACGTGGGTATTTACAATCGGATGTATATTTACCAAATGAACAATGAGATTATTTAATTATTGAAATCTATAATGTGTTCACTTGCATGTATATTTGGCCAGTAATTTTTCAAATGTTTAAATTTGGGAAGTAATCTACCCAGCAATCATGTGTAGTAAATATCTAAATGATGAATTTATTTGCAGGTGGGAAGTGATACAAGGGGATGGAGCAACATTTACAGCTTTGTATCCCCTGATCGCAACTCAAAGGAGACAATTGCCTTCTTGTTCGGTGACATGGGGACTTCAACACCTTACAATACCTTCCTGAGAACTCAAGAAGAGAGCAACTCAACCATCAGGTGGATCATTCGCGACATCCAGGCTGTAGGTGACAAACCAGCAATGATCTCACACGTCGGGGATATTAGCTATGCCAGAGGCTACTCCTGGTTGTGGGACACCTTCTTCAACCAGATTGAACCGATCGCGTCCATGGTTCCCTACCATGTTTGCATAGGCAATCACGAATACGATTGGCCAACGCAGCCCTGGAGGCCAGATTGGGCTGTCCCGATTTACAAGCAAGACAGTGGTGGTGAGTGTGGGGTTCCCTACAGCCTCAGGTTCAACATGCCCGGGAACTCCTCAGAACCGAATGGCGCCATTGCTCCTATTGGAGGAAAGTAAGTTTAAACTTAGGCACTGTTTGGTAGCCAGTTCTGGGTTATTTGGCTGATATGGCTTTTGCCATTGTTTAGAAAGACTACTTTTATGCTTTTGCCTAAAAAATTAAAAGAGTGTTTTTCAAATAGGTGTTTCTATTTTGAGCACTTCAAAACTATAAGCAGATGTACAAATAGGTGTTTTTTATAATACTTTACTTACATGATATATCAAAAACGTATATTTCTTTTTTGGTTTTTTTACCAAATACTCCAACTTCTACTTTTTGAAAATCACTTTTATTTTCAAAGGCTACTAATTTTTACAATAAACAAGGTTCTCTATAATCTTTGAACTAAATGACTTCTCACAAGAAAATGCAGCCCTGTCTTACCCCTAAATTTTGTTGAAGGAAAGGTTTGATAAAATCAATTTTTAACTAAATGACTTCTCAAAAGCTATCTAGGGCCAGTTTGATAAGGGTGTTTTTGGCTTCTCTAGTATGGGATACTTTTCTGGAAGTACAAATATTTGGTAAAGTCTACCTCATCCAAATAAGTAAGCAACAATTACTTATTTTACTTGATCCACAAATAAGCAGAATAAGGCACTTTGTACTACCTAGAGCCCGTTTGGTAACACTAAAATTGGCTGTATTGGCTGATTCTGTTGAAATTTATGAAGTTCTGGCTGTATTAGCTGATTCTGCTGATTCATTAAAAAATTATATTTAAAATATTTTTTATTAATAAATAAAATAAAAAATTATATGAAAAATAGCTAAAATGATCCTCTACAGTAACTTCGGCCAATACAGCCAGAAAAGTAACTCCAACCTTACTTTTTCAGCTTATTAAATAATTCAGCGTGCGAAATCAAAAGTTACGTGTTTGGTGAAAAAGCTGGCTGATAAGCCTGATAAGCCGGAAAAATGGGTCACCAAACGGGCTCCTAATGTTTTTTTTCTTACCATGCCGATGAAAAAAATTACTCCCTCTGGTTTTATTTAATCTTCACACTTTCACTTTACACAAAATAAGGAAAGAAATTTGACTTTACTGTAGAGTACACTGTTGAGGCACTGTTTGGCACTGTAGAGACACTGTTTGGCACTGTTTTGATGTAGATTTCTTTGCCAAAACAGGAAATAAGAAAGTGTGAAGTTTATTTTAGACCGTCACAAAAAGGAAAGTGTGAAGTTTATTAAAAACCGGAGGAAGTAGTAAATTAAGTCAGAAATGGGTACCAAAGAAAGCCTGAGAAGCTTTTGAATTAGGCTGACATGAATGTTACAAAGCCATTTTCCTAAAACAAAGTGTGTCACATTTGCAGGGATTAAAAACATATTTAAACCTAAAAATAATATATGAGCGCATGGCATTTGGATGACAGGGCTCCAATGACGCAAAACCTTTACTACTCACTGGACGTTGGAGCTGTTCACTTTGTGTACATATCGACAGAGACAGATTTCCTCCCAGAAAGTAACCAGTACAGGTTCCTCAAGGAAGACTTGGAGTCGGTTGATCGGGGGAAGACACCATTTGTGGTTGTTCAAGGGCACAGACCAATGTACACAACCAGCAGCGGCCACAAGGATGCTCCCGTTAGGCAGAGAATGGTTCAGCACTTGGAGCCTCTTCTTGTCAAGAACAGGGTCAGTCTGGCTCTATGGGGACATGTCCACCGCTACGAAAGGTTTTGCCCTTTGAATAACTTCACATGTGGAAACCTGGAGATGAACGGTGATGATGATTGGAAGGCTTTCCCTGTGCATGTTGTGATTGGGATGGGAGGACAGGATTGGCAGCCTGTATGGGAGCCAAGGATTGACCATCCGTCAGATCCCGTTTATCCTCAGCCCTTGAGGTCTGAGTTCCGGGCGGGGCAGTTCGGGTATGCAAGAATTGTTGCTGACATGGACAAGCTGAGGTTTTATTATGTGGGGAATCATGATGGGAAAGTGCATGACGTGGTTGAAATCATGGCTCCAAATCGGCTGGTTGTTGACTCTGGTGCTGCCTCACTTTATGATGATTTATAAATTGTAAGCTCTGTGACTTCTTGTCATTGAGACATTGATGAATAATATCAGGTGGTCACCAAGTTTATCTTAGCTCGACTTGTACCGTACAAATAATCTAGCAATGCTTGATGCTCTTCTATGGGGGAAAACGGAAAAACTCAAGTTGAAGGCGAGATGTGGAAAAAAGTGGGCATGGTGTTCACGGTGTGTAGTAAAGAGCAATATATAGAGATGAAGAGAAAAGGTATGTGGGAAAGATATGAACGCCTTGTATGGTGTTTGAGCAGATATGGAATTGAAATATCAAGTTCTTTTTAAAAATAAAATAAAATAAAGTGATAGTTACACAGTATTATTTTGGGTCAAGTTCTTTTCATTTTTCAACGAGAGAAAAGGGGGAGAACTCTTCGTTATAGGCTGGCTGCATCTTTTTGCTGAAAATGTAGCACTTTTCTTGAAATTGCTTTCTATTGGATTTAATTGATTAATGAAAAAAGAACACATAGGAGAATCTGGGATACCGTACTTTAAATATACAAAAAAGGGCAACTAACATATGCCATCGGCTTAGATCATTGCTCAAAACATTGGTCAGTAGTAAATAATTTAATCAAGAGGGGTATAGTTACCTATTTGCAAGGAGGCCATAGTTGTGCTTCCGACAAGCACAATGATCTTGAAACTATTTTTCATATTGAGGAAAATTAGAGAATATAACCCTAAATAGGATTAAAAAGGTTTGAAAATTCTAGAATAGGACAGTCATGTTTTTATTTCCAAAATAGGACTAATTACTGTCATGTTTTGACACTATTAGACTTCAAACATGGCAGTATTTTCCAAACTTGGCAGTAATTACTCCTATTTTGGGAATAAAAAACATGACAGTCCTATTTTGGAATTTTCAAACTGTTTTAGTCCTATCACGGGAACTTTCCCGAAAAAATATCCTCAGTGTTTTACTAGAAGACTCTCCCTTTATTAGAAACTCTTGAAAAAACCATCATCATCATTACCCCAGTGTCGCAAGGGCTCCCACCAACGGTGGGTAAGGAGGGTCGGATGTACGCAGTCTTACCCCTGTACGAAAGCACAGAGAGACGGTTTCTGAATGACTCATATTGAAAATCGTGTCGAAAATTGCATAGACTAACTATTAGTTCATAACAAAGAAGCGCAGACAGTTTAGTGAGTCATTTTGCTTTATTCCATCATATTCTCAAGCTAAAAAATAGTGAGTCTTTGACTCCATTGAAATTGATGGAAAGAAACTTTTGAAAAAAAAACGAAAATAATAATAATAATAATAATCACACATCATCATCAAAAACATGACAAATTATATCGTATGACCGGCATACCATGTGCATGTTATGCCGCTCCAATAAGGCACCGTTTTCTCTGGAGCTAGCACTACGTTCGTTCTTTTCTTTTCCTTCAAAGGCTCACGCCCAGATTTTTTTGGAGCATTATCTACTAATTTTTCTTTTTTTGTTTTCTTCAATTATTCTTCTCTCCATCTAAATATTAAAAACTAATTTTTTTTTCTTTTTTTTTTTTTGCTCGAAGAATCCTTAATTCATAAAAATAGCATTCAGTAGGAGGATAAAACTGGAAAAGAACCACAAATAACCATCCGCCCGTGGCCGAGACTGAGAGTTAACCACCTGTGCAAAAGCAGTATAACTCGCTAGACCGAAATTGGGCAATAAAGAGCTACTGACGGTTACCGCATCCTCTCCCTCCCCCAAACTTAATGCAAGAGTCTTACAAGGAATAAACGCATAACAGAAAAACAAAACAGAACAATGCAGAGTACTAAAATCGAAACAGAAAAAGATAAAGAAACCAAAACAAGTTTTCTTCCCCATAAACTTCCAACCCAGGCGTGGCGGGTCTAGGGCGTCAGACCCGCCTCCCCTCCGTTTTTTGTCCCCTCCATGCACATGTCTTCAGCATCGACACCTTGTCCGGTCTGAGCTACCCAGGTCCTCCTACGCTTGAGCTCCCCAGGCATCTCCCCCTCGTTGTTGCCTTCACTCAGTACCGGTTTGATGCCTTTGGATTCGGCCGAATACCCTCCTCCAGTATCAGGTCTCCATTGGCTGTTATATCCTTCAGAATTAGAAGTCCATATATATGCTCCTGTAGGGCTGGTCTTCACCCTTCCTCCCGCTCTAAGTTCCACTCCAAAAGTTTTTCCAGCAACAAAACCCTCTTCATACTTCAATGGGCAAAATTTATCAGAATGACCTATAATGCCACAAATGAAACAGAAACTGGGCAGCTTCTCATATTTAAAGTCCACCCAATGCTTAACACCATCCTGTGTCAAATTAGTGCCTTTTTTCAAAGGCTGGCGAACATCCATAGCCACCCTAATACGCAGATAGGAAGCCTGCCTACCATCAAATTGACTCATCTCAAATTTAATGAAAGAGCCCAGAAAATTACCAATTATTTTAGCAGAACGCAAATTCCTATACTTTATAGGAGCATTGTGAACCTGTACCCAAAAGCTAGTCTCATACAGATTCATTGATTCAGGTATATCATCAGGCTGAACAGCTTTTAATAAAATCAAATCGCGCTCAAAAAGCCAAGGACCATCCTCAATAACACGATGCATATCCAAACAGTGATTAAAATTTAACAGATACCTTTTGTCGCCGATTTCCTTGATAGTCATACCTTTAACAGGTTTCCAAACCGATATCATCATCTCCTGAAACCCTGTCAATTTAATTTTGCGATCCGAGATCACTATTGCGACCGCCGGAAAACCAATCAACCCTTCATCCTCCTCGCCATTTGCCTTTGTAATATCATCGAAATTCAACTCAGTCTCCTGCTCGTTCATCGAAAGTTTCTTGTAAAAGTCCACAAAATCTTCCATCTACAAATTCCAAAACGTCCAGCAAACCACGGTCGCCTTCTTCTTCTCCCGATCCGCGGCCGACCGCCGAGCAGCAGGCGCACAACAACCTAGCGGCGAGGAGATCGCCCTAGACAAAAACTAGCGGCGGTAGAAACGCCCTAGACCCACACTGGTTTCTTATATTTTAGATTTTTTATTTATTTATTTATTTTTCTTATATTCATCATTAACTAATTAAATTGTAATCATACACTACTTTTGCCAAAAAATACTCATTCACTACGTTTTCTACTTTTTTCTTCAATTCAAATTACTACCATTTATAAAAAAAAATTAGAGGTTTTTAAGACATTGAGTTTGTTTATTTTGATTCTTGAAGTTACATTTGATAATATATCATGAAATTACATCTTCTTCTGCACAAGTTACATCTTAATATACACGAGTTACATTTTAATGTATGCGAGTTACACCACAGAATAAACTCCAGCTATATCATTTTTATTGCACTAATATTAAAAATAAAACATATTCACTATTTATAAAAAAGTAATTAAGCTATTAGGATCAATTTTTCATTGTTTACATTGAAATCAATGTTTATAATATCTCAAACAAAAAAAAACCATTGTTCAATTTTCCAACAAGTTACATTCTGTATACACTCAAGTTACATTTGCCATCAACGCGAGTTACATTTGTAATAACAAGAGTTACATTAAAAAATAAACTCCTGCTATTAAAACAAAAAAAGGATTTTTTCTAAAAAATTATTTTTTTATGACCATGATAATAGAAACAAAACATATTCCTGTTTTACCTAAAGCAATTGTGCAATTAGACTCTCTTTTTTCATTGTTTACATTGAAATCAATATTTGACAAGTTACATTTTGAAAGGGCTTGAGTTACATAGATCAATAACGCGAGTTACATATCTTTACACGCGAGTTACATCATCCATGCTACTGGGTAAAAAAAATGTCACGGTACACGTGTGTATTGTTCACACGTGTACTGTTCACACGATTTTTTTTTTTAATTTGTCCAAAACTACATCGTTTTGGGAGGGGGAGCATGATGCTCATGGTGGGACGGTTGCACAGTATAGGAACTGCAAAAACATCTTTTAGTTTTTTTATCACTATAATATCCACATATAACGTTTTATATAGATTTTCTTACCAAGACATAAGAATGAATCATGCAATTTTTTCCGTGTAAGTTTTTTCATAACTTTTATATGGAATATTCAAATAAAATACTCCCAATCATCAAAAAAATTATTCTCACTATCATATACACGATATCTTTAAAAATACCACACTCTAAATAAACACGTGCAATGAGAAAAGTATCTTAGAGTTTATAATATACCGGTTCTAAATAAACTTCACACTTTCTTTTTTGGTAGATCCAAAATAAATTGCACACTTCCCTTATTTCCTTATTTGACAAAGAAATCTACGTCAAAACAGTGTTAAATAGTGTCAAACAGTGTCAAACAGTGTCAAACAATGTCAAAGCAGTGTCAAACAGTGTCAAACAGTGTCACAACAGTGTACTCTACAATAAAGTCAAATTTATTTCTTTAATTTGTATGAAGTCAAAGTGTAAAGTTTAAAAAGAATCGAGGGAGTAAATGCTCTAAAAAGTTAGTGCTTAATAAAGCAAGCAATGCCAAATTACGAGAAATTTTATTTGATTATAAAGAAATGATTAAAGTTTTATCAATTTATTTGGAGATAAAGACATTCTTAAGTGCAAACTCACCTATGGTTTTTAAATGACATTCTTAACTGGATACTCCTTTAGAGTAAAGAATCAAATTACACATTTTTGTGTAAAACCAAAGCCACAATGAATCTTAATAATTTTATAATAATATGTATGAGATTATTAAATTTTAAAATGATGTTATATTGTTAATTCATATACTCCGTAGTTTGTGCATATTATATTTGTATCAATGCCAGAATATTTAAAAGTTTCATTATTTTTGCAAAAAGATATTATTATCATTTTTTAGAATTTTGCTTAGTGCATATACCCAGTTAGATGTCGACTTACACGCTTAAATGTAATTGTCTATACTCAGATAATTACACTTGAGTTTAATAAAATTAAATGTATTTGTCTATACTCATATAATTACACTTGAGTTTAATAAAATTAAATGTCTATGATCCCAAATTATCTATGCACACACAATTACAAAATTGTCCATTTCTTTGCAAGTAGCTAGCGTAGGATTCCGGGAGTGTTTGCAATTGCTTCAACTTTAAAGAAGTGATTTTTTAAAGTGATTTTGGGAAAAGTGATTAATAGTAAAAGTTGGTAGTGTTTGAGGAAAAAGTGATTCTGAAAAAGTAAAAGTTGGTAGTGTTTGATAAAAGAAGTACTTTTTGTGTAATAGAAAAAGTGAAAAGCAGTTTAAAACACCCTTCCACCTGCTTCCAGCTTTTAGCTTTTAAGTGATTAATTTAAACAGAAGCTGTCATTTAAAAACACTCTTTTTAACTTTTTTAACTCAAAAACTGAAAAGCACTTTTTTTAATCAACCCCAAACACTCCCTCCGTACATTTAAGCGCCAGAGCTCCATCTTATTCCGCTAACGATTTTGACCAAGGATGTT